AGTGCCAGGTAGCCAGCGCGCGCCGTTAAGCCCTTTTCACATAGAGCGCGCAAAGCGCAGACCTCCGCCGACGAACCCATTCATTGTGTATGTGCTACCTCCAGTGCGCGCTGTTATTGGACGGCGCATGGACACTCACAGAAAAGTACCGTGAGAATAAAAAAAAGAAAAGAAAGAAAATCAGATTAAATATTCCTTCCGCAACAATTTTAAGACCTTTGAGTAATGAATTTAAGACCAATTTAAGACATTTCTAATGAATTTAAGACATTTTCAGGCCTTACTTTTAGATACATGAATTTAAGACTTTTTAAGACTTTTCAAGGATCCACGGGTACCCTGTATATGGTCTCTCTTTTTGGTTTTTGTTAAAACCCTGGCAGCAGCATTCTGAATGGTCTGTACTTTTGCAATTGCAGTTTTAGGTAGGCCAGTGTAAAGGGCATTACAATAGTCAAGACGACTGGAAACAAAAGCATGGACAAGCTTCTCAGCATCCTGCTGGCTCGGTAGAGGTCGTACCTTAGCTATATTGAGTAAATGAAAAAAATCAGTTTTAGTTAATGTGTTAAAATGAGCTTTAAAATTTAGATCACAATCAAAAATGACACCGAGGTTTCTGAATAGAGGTCGTGTCTGTGTGGGTAGATGACCCAGTTTAGTGAGAACCAGGTCCCTCTTACTTTTGGGGCCAACGAGGAGGATCTCAGTCTTGTCTTCATTTAGTTTTAGGAAGTTCTGGCTCATCCAATCATTGACAGCTGGCAAACAGTCAACAAGATTAGACAGGGGATTTGGGTCATCTGGCTTTACAGACACATACAGCTGTGTGTCATCAGCATAGCTGTGATAAGACACACCAAACTGACGAATGATAGATCCCCATGGCAACATACAGATTGGAAACAACAAAGGTCCTAGGACACTGCCTTGGGCCGCACCATAGTCAACATTAATTGTCTCTGATATGTGTTCCCCAATTCTGACCTGAAATGAAGTGAAACCAGAGAAGAACTGTACCAGATGGACCCACCCATTACTCAAGACGGCTGAGTAGAAGAGCGTGATCAATAGTGTCAAATGCGGCACTAAGGTTGAGGAGGATCAGGACAGAAATATTCCTACTGTTGGCATTTACTCTCAGATCAAAGCAGAACCACTGGTGTTTTTATTTTGAAGCACCCAGCTAATCTTGTCCAGGAAGTGTTGATGTTTTTACTTTGAACTTGCAGCTTCTGGTCAACAGTTGTTGTTAGCAGTTAGCGCAAAGTTAAACTGTTACAGCAGCACCGTTAAACGTAGGGATTTATTCACTGTGAGCTGGAAATAACAAACAGCTCTCCAGTTCATATATGAACAGTATTAAGTTGTACTAGTGCTCCATGGCGAAATAGTCATGGTCTGAGGAATTACAGATGAAAACACAGCAGTTTCCTCTGTTCAAGCTATTATTAATCCCATTACATTAAACTGTTAACGCATTCCTATTAAATGTGATGATCTATTCACTGTGAGATGGAAACAAGCTGCAAGCTGCAGTTGGTGGCAAAATGCTACTACATACTGATGCTATGGGAAACATGCCTCACCTGCAGCTCACACATTGTCGCTCAGCAGAAAGTGGTCTGGATTGACGGAGTAGTGTGTGTGAGTATCATATTTGTGAGTGTTCTTGTGTGTGTGTGTGTGTGTGTGTGTGTGTGTGTGTGAGAGAGAGAGAGAGAGAGAGAGAGAGAGAGGGAGAGATCTACAGGAGAGAAAAAACAACAACAATGTGACCATTTATACTTCATGATATGGTCATTTTATTTATCCCACGTTGAACAAGCCGCCATTCATCGAGGACATTCGATTTATCACCCACCTCTGGTTCTCCTACACATTTGATACACTGAAGAAGTCTCAGATGGTTGCAATTTGCAACCTAATCGTTACATGCCTCTAAACCCCACACATGACACCTTTAAAAATTGCCACAACAGTGCCAATCCAAGGACTCAGGGCGGGGGGGGAGCAAAGTCTCTGAGAGAAAGTTAGAGCAGATGAGCCCGATCAGCTGGCTGATTGTATTTACTGCCCAGATGTAACTTTCCACACCTGGAGTGTGTCCTTCACTCCCTGCATTGGTGTTTTTTATTGGGCTCAGCTCCTCCACAGACGGTGGGCTCTAGTTTCCCGGCGCGGCGCAGGGTGGCAAACCCCGCGCAGAGTTCGTTTCGAGCAGCACAATGTGAGGCACGCTCAGTTTGGTAGTTTGGCAGACCGAGGTGCGCTGAGATGGGTGTGGCGGCGCAGCAGGGGGAGTTTTCGACAGATCCAGCTTGGCGCAGTGACAGTTTCGTGACAAAAGGCTTCGCTGAAGGTGCGCTAAAAGCTCGCCAGCTGAAACCAGGTCTACTGTCAGTGCAGGGGGAGCGCAGCCGGTGTAAGCCAAAGTTTGGCTGACCGGCGGACAGTGCGCACACGTCACCAAAACCTCACAGGCAGGTTTCCAGAATGTCAGGCACATTAATGATGCAATAAATAGCCACAAAACCACTATTCAATGCAACTATCTGCAATCAGTACATAAATGTATCTCTATATCGACTGTCCCGTCACATCTGATGTCAGATCAAAGGGGATTGGCACCGTTTGGCACGTTTGGCACGTTTGGCACGCGTAATGGAAACCCAACCTGATTTGATTAACAGCCTAATGAGTTCACATTCCTCTCAGCCAACCACAAACAGCCACAGCATCAGATAGGGAGTATATATTCAGCATCTGTCATCTTAGAAAAGTAAAAGAAAAGAAACAGAGTGAGACTGTGAGAGAGAAAGAGAGAGCGTGCGCGCACAAGAGAAACGCAACATTGATTTACAATTGTGGTGACCTCCTCCCAGGCTACCTTTGCATCATCAGCCCGTGGAGGTCTGCTCGCAGTTCCGTATATTCGGACACTGCGAGCAGACCTGCCGGACCAAAACATAAGTTTCCTCCTGGGAGAAGTTTGGCCATCTGACGCTGCTGCTCTCTTCTGCCATGGCGAATTGAGTAAACTCTCATTACGCCTTCGTGCGGCGCATTTAAGGGCGAGGAGAGGGGCTCATTTGATTGGTGTGATGTGTGTAAAACCCACTCCACGCCTTCTCTCCTCCCTCTTTCCGACTTGCGCAGGTAGGAGGGACGGAGGTGGGAAAGAGGAGTAGCTGCGCCAGTGCACACGGTGTGCCAAACTTGCAAAATCCGCCTGGCCACACCCAGTTGGCAAAGCCCAGGTGTGTTGTGCCTCCGCCTTGCCCGGTCTGCAAAACTAGAGGCCATAGTGTTCCTGTAAATGACACATTGCAGTTTTTTCCTGTTTATTCAGCTTAGGCTCTGTAAAAAACATAAAATGGTAGGGAAAGCACTGTTTTTTAACAGTGTCTGCATTTTGGACAATTCCGTGATATTCTGTTTTTTACAGCTGACCCATTTTTATTGTCAAATTCTGAGGTTCCATCGATATTTTTTTGCATCATGGAAATTGTAGGGCCCTATTCTTGTCTTATTTGTGGTCTGATGAACAAAGAGAGGGCGTGAGCTACACAAGGAGGGGCTGAACAAATGCTTTGTGTGCAGCTCTACGGTGGAATAAAATGAAATAGATCAATGTATGGGAAACAAAGTGAAGTTCATGCATATGCCTGTTTGCCTGGTGAGAGGGGCTAAGGACAGAGAGGAAGAGCTGCAGGAGGAGGGTCATTTTTTTGTTTGCTTGTTTATGCCTTTTCCAGAAAACTGCCTAACCTAGCTTTAAGTTGTAAAGATTATTCTTGACCTTGAAAATAACAGTTTGAACAACAAAAAATCCCAACACAAGGTCACTTTACTAGTTTTTCCAAAACTCTCAACCAAAGAGTAATTCTTAAATGTTTGATCTATGTAGAAACAAGTTAATTGTTGTAGTCTGAAGTAAAATATCTCTTTTGGCGCATGTATCACTTCAGTGTCAACAAACTCACATATTTTTGACAGGAATTTGAGATATTAGTTCAATCGCTGCAGTCTCTAGCAGATTAGGTTTGTTAGTTCACTGCACAAAGCAAAAACAAATGGGGATGAAGCTTTTAGATTTTCACGTAGAAAGAAGTTTTGCACTGGTCTTTGCACCTAAACCTGCGGTGTAAGAGATTATCAATCATGTGATATGACAAGATAGAATTCACTGTCAAAAATAAGTATCACACTTAATATGTTAATATTTATTGAGCCACTTGACATACATTGAAGGAACTGTGTCAGACCCACTTACAGTATAAATTTCCATTCCTCTGAATCACACATGGAGTTTGCATTCAGGTTTGTGTAATTAAATTACATTTAATTTAATGGAAGCTTTATAAATTAATCAGTAATTAATATGTAAGTACAGGTTTATGTTTTAATTAACAAGATTGGAATTTATATTTTCCCTGCCATCTTCTAATTGATAGGAGAACTGCTTTGAGCTGAATGTGGCACACATCCAGGCAGGAACGGGCCTAATCAATCAATGCATTGCTAATGTTATTTCTTATTAAAGCAGATGGATTCAGACATATTTGCACTGAAGGAGTGCGGATACAGGAGTCAGGTATGATAAATTTATGGCAAAAATAATATGAGGAATTAGAGATGCATGACTAGCCATATACATTAGGCCCTGTTCAGTAAAAATATCCCTGTGCAGCAAGCTGTACTTAGATATTTTAAAGGGCAGTGAGCTATATCTGGATGCAAGTATATTAAAATACCCAAGATCATTTTGAAAATTCAGTTTTATACCCCCTCATTATAGGAAAATCATTTTTTGAGTCATACCTTGCACTTATTTTCAAAGATCAAAAGATCTCATTCCTCAGTCTGGGTGGATATTTTTTTTCCTGCTGCAGGATTATAGTATCAGGTAGATCTCAAGTACAGCAGTAAATCACGTGTGATTCCCTTATCAGCAGAGCAGAGCGGTAGCACTTTGCAGAGATTTGATTTGATCTTACCTTGTACAGCAAAGGTGCTTGGCCAAGCTTGACCACGGCAATCTGGTTGGTGAGGTTCAGGCTGTCTTTGGCTCTCCTGAGGTCGTCCACAGTGGCGTACTGCACATCGACCACCTCCCCCTGATGTGGAGAAACAGCACAGAGGCTCAGTGGGGTCAGCAGTTACTGAAATCATTAAATGTCCTTTAATCAAATGTTCTCCCAAGTGCATAATATGCCATCCAGATGGCAGGTAACTTATATGTGTTTATATGCCTCAATCAGCTCTGTGCTCATTGGCTTTTTCATGCTCTGTGGTTGACCTTACTCTGCATTAGGGCAGGGTGTTAAATCTTAATCATTTCTGACCAAATGTGCCTGTAGCATAGAGGGTTGAAAACTGTTGAGTCCTGGGAGTTAAAACAGATTTCTTCATCAGATTTGGTTTACATTTAGTTTGAAGCAGATATTTCCAGTTTTAAATTAGCTAATTTGTACTTCATTATAAAAATTAAACTAAATTGAGTCCACTATTGGCTTCCAATATTGAGTGAATATAAAAGTCACTCACACAATTTTTAGGAAGAAGGTCAGTTTACTGTTCATGGGGAGTGCTAATCAGCTTGTGAAAACTGTTGTATATTGTCATCTGTGGCGCTGGAGGGGATTTTTAAAGGTTCAGTGTATAGGATTTAGGGAGATATATTGGCAGAAATTGAATACAATATAATAAGTATTTTTTCCTTAGTGTATATTGACCTGAAAATAAGAATTGTTGTGTTCTCCTTACCGTAGAATGAGCCATTTATATCTACATTAGGTGCACTTCTCTGTTTTTGGAGATCACAGTGTTGCACCACCATGTTTCTACAGTAGCCCAGAACAGACAAACCAAACACTGGGCCAAGATAGGGCCATTTGCGTTTTCGCATTTTTTTGTTGAAAGAAGCTCAACTGCAAGGAAGGAATTCGAGCCGGGAGAAATTTTAGCTGGTTGAAATCTGCAATTCACCAATAGACTCACAAATCACACTAAAATCTTACACACTTCACCATTAAGGTCTGAGAAAATAACCCATATGATGTCACAAGATTTATCTCTGCTTGAGCTCAAAGATGAAAATCAGTAAAAATCCTGATTACAAACTTAAGGGTTGTGGAGCTTGAAAGATGTGGATGTTTACCAGGATATGACAAACAGACACTCTGGGGTTGCATCCTGGGAAATGTAGGATCCAGCATTTCTGGAGCTTGACCCATACAAGAGATAGTCAGGTCAAGTCAAGATATCTTGCCCTCTGCTGCTTTGATTCTGACCATTCCTTTCAAAATCTGTCTCTTGTCAGCTTGTGAGAGGAGAACAACACTAAGTTGCTGGAGTACCCCTTTAAACACTGCCGTGTTAAAGAGACTCTGAAAGATTTTTTAGAGAGTTTTTTAGAGGAATTACCAATAACAACAATTATATAAATTGCCAGTGTGTAATCATTCCTGATGTAGGCATTTTAATCAATATAACAGCACTTCAGTAGAATCTGATTACCACCCGTTGGAGTGACTTTGGCCAAGTGTGTGTGTGTGTGTGTGTGTGTGTGTGTGTGTGTGTGTGTGAGTGTGTTTTGAGGTGTCTGTGTGTGTTTTTGTGTATATGCACGTGTGTCTCTGTGACTGAGCGGCTGACTGAGTTATCATCTTCCAAATTAAAGTGACCTAGAAGTTGTTGAGGAAAGTCAAAGCATTTTGGGGTCTCTCTCTCTATCCCTTCTCCCCCCTCTCTGTTTCTCTTTGCCCCCTCTCACTCTCTTCCTCCCCTCCCCACCCCATCACTGCATCACCTGGGCCTGATTCATTTTTCATGTGGCCAGGGGGCGAGTGTAACACGATGCTGCAGTGGAGAGTAAGTGAGGGAGAGTGCAAGATAGCGCCTGAGTCTGTGTGTGTGTGTGTGTGTGTGTGTGTGTGTGTGTGTGTGTGTGGAGAAAGAGATAGAGAGAGAGAGAGAGAGAGAGAGAGAGAGAGAGAGAGAGAGAGAGAGAGAGCCCACATCTTTTGCATCAGGGGAGCCCAGGAGAGGAGAGCGAGGGAGATTTATCGCTCCTGCCTGCATTTGCATCATAAAAGTCCTCCATTTAAACTGCAGACCATGGAACAGTACAAGACGCAGCAAATTGAAATATAGGAGAATCTCTATACGCACTTTGATGGTGCTGCTTGAACTAGATCCATCTCTCTTTCCACTCTCCCTTTTTTTCTTTCATTTCATTTCATCTCACCGCGGTAATGAAATTAACAATGTAAGTGGTCTCTGTCTGGCTGACGCTGTGAGCATCATTCTCATGTTGAGATGATGAATATTTCCTCTTAACCCAGCCAGGCATTCAGACAAGATTTTGGTTGAGTTTTTGAAGGATGAGAAGAGAACCAATATATCTTGGACCCTGTCAGAGTCCAATACATTTGAAAAGTTTTACTGTATAAAATGATAAATATTAAATGTATTTGCCACAGTTTCATTCTGGTGTTTTTAAACTGCATTTAGTTCAACATGGGAGATTTAAACTCTCCAAAGCCATGCTAATACAAAGCTTTAATAAGAGTTTGTTGCCTTTTAAGTGGGGTTTCCTTACAGGCTTCACAGACTGGCACTATTGAAGCTGATGAGTAAAGTTATATCTGCACCCACATCATAACAGAAAAAGCTTCAGTTGACCAAGGACCTAACTGGACAACAGAGGTGACACATTTTCTAAATGTCTTCATATTTTTTTTATCCACTTAGAAGAGCTCGAGGGGAATCCAAACCTATCAAGAGATGATGTTTAGGCAGAGACAATCCATGAGAAAATAATGTTTCTGGAATGTGAAAAAAAATCAGTTAATTCATTGGGCCGACTGCCTGCAACTTTAAAGTATAATGTTTACTTGTAATGTTACTCAATGCAAAAACCCCGCCATTTTTAATATCCCACTGAGAGAGACTCTCACTCCACTCTTAAAATGTTAACATGCAACCTCATTCTGTGGACGATAAATGAGGTGCAGACTTCCCTCTGTGTTGATGATGAGGAAATACGGCGAGATTTTCTTTTTGTCGTTCACGATTTCTCCCGTCACTTTGACCACTAGAGAGACAGAGGGATAAGCTGCCGTGGACAAATGTACGGCAATAGGAAAAATTATGGCATTAAACAGCAGAAGCACTTTAGCAACCTGCTGAGTACTGCCATTAGCATCAAGCTAGCAAAGAATGTTTTTTCTTTAAAATGGAGATGGACATAAAGTAGGAAAATTAAAAAAATAGTGGCGGGGCTTTTACTCACCAACACTGCAGAGGCTACCAGCTTCATTTGAAACAGACTACATTATAAATGGGCTGTTATTTATTAATCCCTCTGTATTTTTATATTCTTCTTCTTTGAGTTAGCTGCTAACTGCTATCAGGTACTTTTTAAATCTCTTTTGTTGGGTCAGATGCGTAACATATTGTCAAAACATCACACCTGTGCCACCTATGATCCCATCCTGCCATCTGTCACAAGGCGGAACAATCGTATGTGACTTGCAGAGGCAGCCTAAAAGTGACAGGACTACTGACACAGTGAGTAGCTAACCTCTTAGAGTTGGTGCCCCATGTACAAAGGCTATGCCTTTGCCCCAGCAGCTGCAGGATTGATTCTGGCCTGCATGTCATCCTCTCTCTCTCCCAGTTTCAACTACTACTACTAAAACAAGTGTGATAACAGTGATGTCATGTGGTCTCCTCAGATGATGTAGGACAACCACCGCTCAACCCAGCTTAGTCTTGGCAAGGTGCTGGAAACATCAATAACTCCAAACAGAAGAGACTTTCACACACTTCCGTCTATGCAATATTCTGCAGTAATACTGCAGAGATCTAAGTGTGTAGAATTATGTTTCTACCATGTGCTCTCCTAGGAAAAGTCCCTCTCCTTGACAATGGTTTATAAGTATGTCTCAAGTCCTACTCTCCGGTACAGGTCTTTTTTAGTCACACGTAAACTTTAACAAATATGGGCCCTGATATACATCAAATCCTAATCTCCACCAAAATGAATGGGAAGAAATTATGCAGGGTACAAAAGAAGGTACATAGCTGGAATGGAAAAAAAGGAAGCATGACTCCCTTCCCTGGTCTCTCTTTCTAAATACAGAGTGTGTAAAGGCAGGGAGAATGGTGAAGAAAAGAGGAGCAGCCATGCAGGAAGGAGACAGAGGAGGTCATGGATTGTTTCTGCAGTCTACTGATTGAAGGCTGCTCAAATCCACCCTGTAATTAACTCTTATCACATCAAGTAAATGAAGTGCCTTCACAATCACACTGTCATTATGTCAGACAACAAGGAGCGGCAGGCTGAAAGAGGGCCAGTGTTGGGAAAGCCATTCACAAAGGCTTCACAAGCTACCAGTTACTGCCGGCACCCGGCAAGAGGCAGAATCACAGTAAATCCTAATTATAGAGATATAGTTTATTGATTGCAGTGACAAAACTTTTTCGAGTGGTCACCTCATACAAAACCACAAAAAACAAAACTGCAGAGATAAGATGAAGCTGGAAACATGTAAATCTGCAGAAAATCATTGTCTGACTGTAATAAAATGTAGTAAAATACAGTATGATGTATGGGCATTGTAGAAGTGATCAGGCCGCTATGGAAAATGTAATAATCCAGACACTCAATCATTTAATATTTAGTAAGATTCATTAATATGACAACTTCTTACTCTGAGAACCCACCAGTGTGAGTGTCACTCCCTGTCTATCAAAATTAAAGAGTAATGCACCATCAGATTCTTAAAACACATTTATGCCCCTCTTGAGACATTATGTGGGTACCTGTGTTGTAGCTGGCTACAGTCTTTTCTTTGTGAGACCCTGCTAGTGTGTAAGTGTGTTTTGTGTTCTGGTACAGAGTGTATAGAGTGAAACAATTACCCCTTTTCCACCAAAATTAGCCTACCCAGTCTCACTCCGAAATCATCAGATACTTGAGTTACTTTGTCAGTGACTTCAGGCGCCAGACACCGAAGAAAAAAGCCATCCTTTCACTTTGGCATAAAACATGGCTGGGTGCTGTTATTGTTTAATGACGCCCAGCAGCATCAGGAGGAACGCGGTGGGA